TACATTCTGTTATTAAATATAACACAATCTACTTACCCATTGCATTGCATTATTAATGATCAGTAAGGAGTAGGTTATTATCCAGTTTGGGGTCATCATGAATGAAGGTACATAACAGGGCCTTCTTATCACATTATATATCCTTTTCCACACCTGAAGAACTATGGACTATTTCTTGAGTTTTTACATAAGTTAACATATTGGCTTTCTGACTTGTCTAATTTGTGATTGATGATATTCAATGAGCTTTTAAGTTGAGCAATTATGCTTATTATACTGCCTTAGTCGATTTTCTTTTACTATAACAGAATGCCTCAAACTGCATAATTAATAAAGAAAAGGTGCTTATTTGGGATCAGAATTCTGGAGACTGAAAAGTTCAAAGTTGGGCAGCTGTATCTGGTGAGGGCCTCATGCTGCATCAACTCATGGCAGACATGGGAAGGAAGAGAAGAGGGACAAAGGGGCCCAGACACTTTGTAACAACCCACTCTCACGAAAACTGAGCCTCTGTTGTGGGAACCACACTAATTCATTCATGAAGCCACTGCCCTATGCCCCCAAAACTCCCACTCCTGTCAACAGTTACATTGGCAATTAAGCCTTAGTATGAGTTTCACTGGGGACAGACTATCAAACTATATTTAAACCACAACATTATTCAAGAAATATTATAGCTCTAGATTATAATTTTGTATAAATTGACCTCTGTAGTTAATAAATGTGATTGAAACTCAAAACTTGCTAATGAAACATTTAGTGATATTTTATACCTTTTAAGTTTCTTTTCTTTCTGTTTGGATAGTATCTCTTTTATAACTTGGTTGTAGGAATGGGGGTTATGATAAAACTTCACAGTTACAGAATTCTTGTTAGAATTAGGATTACTCTGAGAAGGAGAAATTCTTTTCAATAGTTTCACAGTGTAATTTCTGAAGTTTGTTTGCTTGTTTGCTTGCTTTAGACAGGGTTTTGCTATGTAGCATAGTCTGGCCTTGAACTCAAAAGCCTCCTGGCTCAGCCTTCCAAGTGCTGGGATTATAAGCATGCCACCACACTCAGCCTCTGAAATCTATTTAAATCCATATGCTGTACTTTATAAATTATTCAATGTAAAAGAAGAGATTTGTGTCCTTTCTATTCATGCCCAAGAGAGCAACAGAAATCAAGATTGTCTCTTACTGTCCTCCATTTAATTTTCTTTCCCTCATTGGTCAGATGGTCTTATCCCATTCCTTTGAGAATGGCTTGCATGCAGGGAGCAGGTAACCCTACAAGGCTTTGTCTCTCCCACTGCCACACAGCTCCACAGCACCACCATCTGGCTCAGGGAATAACTGCTATCAAAGCTTCTGTGAACATGACTGGACCTTCAAAGTGAAGCATCTAAGAACCACCCCATTTCCTGTGGTTTCCTTTTTCTTATCAGAGTGCACGAATTTCAACAACAACTTGGAGTTCTCATTTTTCCATGTTTTAATACATTTAGATCTGATTCCAAGGTATCTCTTTCCCATAACTATGGGGTATTGAATTTGGTATGGCTCTGAGACAAGCTTCCACAGAATATGTGGAAATAAATCCAAAGCTAAATACTGCATCCAGGAAGGAATTCTAAGAGAATACATGGACCTAAGGCTTGTGTACTCTGGACAAGGACTTCAGAAATACCTTGAAGTCAAGGGGACACAAAGCAAAACAGACCACAGTTATGTGATACTTTCGAGAATGTTTTAAAAATATATTTCAATGGATAATATAGATTGCCGTATATTTCTAAAAACAGAACTATCTGATAAAATAAATATTTGTAAACAGATACTGTACAAAAATTCAATGGGTAGATGGCAGAACATAAAGAGAAAATACACAGAAGACATCAAAGTCATTTGGACAGTTTACCCACCACATGGCTGTTCGGCAGTCACTTAAATGTCTATCATAAACCCAAGTGTCTCTTCTAAATTCCATGCATAGATTTACGCAAATGCCCTGGATATTTCTACATAGTCAGTGAAGGTCCACTAGAACCAGAAATTCAATTTTGTTCAATAACTTCATTCCATTTATTCTTCCAAATATTCTCTCTTTGCCATATTCTGGTTGGGAAGGTAAGAAGGAGAGTGTCAATCCTCTTCTTTACTGATATCGCTTCACTCTTTCCTTTCACAGCTCCTGAGGCTTGTCTCACTTTTGTGATGCCAGCCAACCAGGTGATATCACAAATCAAGTTTTATCAAACTTTGCCTTCTCTCAAGCCCTTTCTGAGGTCACCAGGCAGAACTGGCCATTTCCCTGCTTCACTAATACCTTTGATTAAAGTATATCTATGATACCATCACCTCAGTATTTGTTTTTATATATATCTCACTTCACTAAGATGATTTTCTGTTCACTTCTGCTTTCTAGTGACCAGTAAAATTAAAAATCCTTGGGGCTATGAAATTAACCTCTCTCTTCTCTGTATCTCTCTTCTGTGTATGTATGTGTCTGTCCATGTCTCTCTATATATATCTAGTGTGCATGTGTGTGTTGGGGGGATAATGTTTAAACCAACTTAATAAGTGAGTGGAGTTTTTCTGTACCCTACAAAGTCTGCTGATGGCACATTTTCCTTTAGTTGCCAGACTGAGGTGAAAGAAAAGGCAGGTCAGGAACTCAGCAAAGAAGAGCTACCTGGTGGAGGAAATAGGGATTGGAACACATTTATGCACAGAGAGGAAGTGGTTGTGCTCCACTGTGCCATACTGCTGGCACAGAGATAAAGGGCAGTCTGGTTCTTTTGGGCCAGTGTCACAGTGAGAAGAAAGAGTGGCTTCTTCTCCTGAGAGGCACTGTAACCTTCAGCTAGGTCCCCTTTCTGGACATCATTTACAATTTGTGAATAGTAGATTAGTCTCAGTCCTTGCCCTGGGTCTTGTTGGTACCAGTACATTGCATCATGATCCAAATTCTGTTCACATTCCAGAGTCACACCATGTGCTTTCTCTCTAATCATGAATTTTGGGGTCTGAGTGACTCCACCATCTATGGTTCCTGGGAAGAAAAAGAAAGAGGCTGGAATCAGTCTAGGAAGGAACTTAATGCTGCTATCCCTGGGGAAAGACTACATGTGGGGCTTCAGGACAGGAACTTGCCTCCTGAGTCCAGTACTCACCCACTCAGAGAAGAAAAAGGACCATCCAGTACAGCACCTGGTTGCTCATAGTGGGAAGGGAATTTCCTTTGGCTCCAAACAGAATTCAGCAGAGAAATAAGAAAAGAATATTGTCTTTAGGGGTCCCCCTGGCTTACTATGGGAAACAGGGCAGGAGGTGGATTCTGAAGATGTTCAAGAAAGGTTTCCTGTTTTGCAGACTGGCCAGAGAGCACATGCACTCACACCTCCCATCTGTATTGTTTCTGGGGCTGTTCTCATTCTAATGGGCCTGCTGATTTTTACTTTTGCAGTTATAGTAGTGTTTTGATTACTTTACTAGATTCTCTGATTGTACAGGAATATAAAATTTGATTTTAGTGCCATAAACTCTCAGGCAGAGTGGTTCCTGAGGTCTGTTAGAGGTTTCTGTGGCAGTACCTGAGAATGCCAGAGCACCAGCTGAAATCCAGATTCATCCCGCATTGATGCCAATGCCTGTCTACTCACTGCTCCCCCTCTGGCTGCTTCTACTTCTTTTTTCCTTTTCATTTTTTCTGTTCATTTTTGTGTTTTGGGACACCTAATTTAACATAATACTTTGCTATCATCCTAGCAGAGTCCAGATACCTTAATAAATTTTGTTTGATTTCACAATTAGGATGTTCATGAATTCTCTTTCTTTATGACTATCTTTGATTTTGTTGTCTCCAGTTTCCTACTTTTATCTTCATTATCTAATTTCCATTTTCTAATTACCCTCCTCTCTGCTTTTATGTCTCCCTCAGAAGCAATACCTTTGGAAGATTACCCATGGCATAGGCTTGGAAATCCCCTTCTCTTGCTCTATCCTTCTCAGGTCACAGGGGTTTATTTGATTTCTGGTATTCTCTCCAGCTCTCTTTCTGCCTCCAGAAAGCACCCCTTTTCTGTTTTTCTGACAGGTTTTCTGTTTTTATTTTGTTTTTTTTTTTCCCTTCCCAGGTGGGTGAGGTATAGGCAGGATGACCTGAAGTAATTTCAGAAAATCAAAATGTAAAAATGTATGCAGGACCATGATTTATATCCCAGGTTTGTGAAGCTATAGAAATGACTTTTCATTTATCTGCCTTTTGACTTTCAGAAATTGTTTCATAAAATCAAATGACAATATGCCCTTTTTCTGTAAGTACCCAATATTTCCTGAATGATGAAAATTTAAAAAAATACTCACTGAGATAACAAAAAAATTGAGGTGACATATTTCTGATGAGTAGTATCTGTGGACCCAACTTTCTCCTATACTCCAGGCAATTATTCAACTCTACCTTCACCATCTCTCAGCTATTATGATTTTATAGAAGGAGTCTGTATCCCAGCATCCATCAAAGCTTGCATAGGCACTAGGAAAGCAACAAGACAAGGAGTACGCCAGAAAGAATACCAGGCAGCAGGGAGTGATATAAAAACACAAACTTGCATTTAAATCCTGTCTATGTGACCTATTAGTTCTTCTTTATTTCATTCATTTTTTTTTAGTTTTGAGAAAGAAAAAATAACTCCTGGAACCATAGTTTTTCATGTTGAAAATGAAGAAAATCTTTCCTTTGCCTAATTGTCTTGCTAATCAAATTATATATGTAAATCATGAAACACAGAACTTGATACACAGTATGTAGTAAGACAAAGGAAGCTGTGTTGATCGGTAAGTGTTGAATCTAACCTGTATGTTTATTTTGTTGTTGTTGTTTTTCAAATGACAGATTCTTAGTTCTTAAACATAAACTGACATATTCCATGATATTCCTACAATCCTTCCTTATTTTCAACCTGAACAATGCCATGGATCTTGTATGTTGATCATACAGATGTGCTTCCTTTCCTGTCATGCTGTTTCTGGGCAGGGAGTGGGGGGATGTTTGTGCACTGAAGAGACATGACTCTGCACTGATGTGGATGCTGAGCTGGCACAGAAGTACACTGCTGAGTGTCCCAGCTCTGCTAGCTCTATCTTGAAGACATTGGGTCCTTCTCTGGGAAATTCAGCAGAAAACCGTTTTGTTGGCATTCCTGAGTCATCTATGATGCTTCCTTTCTGGAGATAGATCATGAATTTCAGACCTTCCTCTGGGAGCTGCTGGTACCAGGAAACATAACTGTGACCTTTCTCTGGGATGCATTTCAGGGTTGCCTCCTGTCCTCTCCTCTTGACCAGGTGTCTTGGGCTCTGGGTGACACTGGCATTCTTGAGACCTCAAAAGAGAAGAGGGTATATGAGACAGTTGTAATTATGGAAGAATAAATGCCATACAATGAAGCAGCCAACTATGAGGTCAAATATCTGAATTCTCCTACATTTCCTTAAAAATCATGTCAATTTTGCCTTTTATCCATAATTCAATTACTTATTCACACATAAATGTTAACACCTTTCAGAAAATGTTTGGGCAATATAGAGGTCCAAGAAGACCAGAGATGCTGACCCATTAACTCAGAACTCACCTAACCCCAGAAGCCAGATCACCACACAGAAGAGGAGTCTGGTGCCCATGGCAGACCTGGACTTGAATGTTGACTGGGAGGCAGGGCTAGGCAGAGCACTTTCTGTAGTGGGTCCAGGAACTAGAACTCAAAACTGCTTCCTGTGAGGTTTTCCTGTGAATTTCCCACTTCCAATAGGTCCTATTGGTTCTAGAACTAATTTTGTTTGTCAGTTGAAATTGTGGATCTTTTGTTCTTAACAACAGACAATGTGGTTTAACATATATTTGTGGGAGACAGTGTAATATAGGGAGTATTGAGATGAATACCTTCATTATTAGTCTATTGTTACTAGGTTCTGAAATATATCTGAAAACTAATTTTATTACTTCCCTCTTCACTTTTTCTTGTTTGGGGCCTCTTTATCTTCCTTTTATTGCCTCAAACTATCTTTCCGTTTCCTGGTTGCTGTTGAATGCAGATATTGACAAGAGACAATATCTATATACTCATATTAAGAGGCAGAGAAGCAAAGACCAACATTGTTGAAGGTAAAATTGCTAAAGGAAATGGCTTGACATTTTTTTAGTTTTCTTTCTTTCCTCTTCCACTTCAGCTAAGCAATAGTTGCAATAATCATGAAAGAATATGATTTGTTATTCACTTTCATCATATTTTTTACTCCATTTGAATTTTTGAAATAAGTAGTTCAAAGAACAAACATTAGAAAAATACTACAAATTCTTCTTCCAGCCTTATGTCCCCTCATTATATAATATAGATATCTTCATCCTCTGTAATAATGCATGGGAAAGATATTTTTAAGAGATCTTTCTTCCACTTTCCTGTCCTTCTTTCTTACCCTTGCAGTACTGATTACAAATTGTAAGGATACATTCTTTTTTCTGGGTATAATGAATGAAAGGCATACAAAGGAAAGGACACTGTCCTATTCCTTTAGAGTCCATAATCTCCCTGGAGAAGTTAGAACCTGTACATCTAGATCCTTCCACACTCTGACTGATAAGGTCATACTAGTTTATAATGCCCAAATAGTAATGGCTGAAAGTTTTGTCTTATTTACAGCAATATCATAAGGTGTTTTTCCAAAGGTCTATATAATTTTGTGGAGTGTTCAGTAGGCCTCCCCACTGCACTCCAATCTAAATACAACTGTGATTGCCTCTGAAATCACATCAGTTCTCCTCATGGGAATATTCCAATTTGTCCACCAAAATCATTGATGAAAATTCTCAGCTCTAAATAATATACTTGCCTGACCCAAAGGACTCTTTGGCACTGGGGAATTACCTGGTCAAACCACCAATTTCAGATCCCCAAACTTTGCTCTTCTAACAAAAGTGTATTTCCTTTCTCTCTATCAATAAAGTCTCTACACAAAAGGCTAAACATTCTTTCTAGTACCAAAAACCTTAGAATGTGATGCTCACATTTATTCTTCATTCCCTCCAATTTAAAGCTCTGGCAACATGTCACCACCTTTCAATTGAAAGGCACTTCTTAAAAGGGAGATAATTGGCTAATGGCAGATCCTGAATAAAAGTTAGTGAAATAGTTTAATTCAGGATATAGGCAAGGTATAAATTATCATTTAATTTCACTTATTCATCTCCAAACAAGTAAATTTTTGACTTAGACACTTTGCCAAGTATTTTGGACTTCCTTCCATTGTCATTCTTTTTAACAGCAGCTTTATCAAGGGAAAATGGGCATACAAATAAGTTGTACATGTCAATACTGTGTTATGTTCTAACCCCTCTTTCCCATCCTTTCCCATCTCTTTCTCATTCCTAAATAATCAGCAGTCTGCTTTTCCTTCAATATAGACTTTCATATAAATAGAAGAATTCAGTGTCTTAGCCAGCTTAGGTTGCTATAACAAAATGCCACAGTTTCAATGACCAGAATTCATTGTGTCACCATCCTAGAGGCTGGAAATCTGAATTTAGGGTGCCAGCATGCCCAGGTGATGGTGAGGAAACTCTGCCTCATTTGCAGATGATGCCTTCTTACTGTGTTCTCACATGGCAGAGAAAGATGGAGCAAGCTGTCTAATGTCTCTTCTTACAAGGACATAATTCCATCAGGATAGCCTCATCCTAGTGACCTCATATAAACCTATTTGCCTTCAAAACATATACATTTCCAAATACTATTTATATGTATTTATTTATGTGTTAACTCCCCACAGGATGATTATAAGTACTCTGATATTGTCAGATTGTAATCTTATTTTCAATTCTGTGATACTTCTTATGCATATCAATTAGCATATGTCTGGAGCCCAAAAAATTCCTATGCCAAATTTATTTTACTGAGCTGTCTAAAATTAAACCCACCTGCTTGTATATTTATTTGGCTAACTGATAATAAAGTAGGTTTTGTTTTCACAATGTTTTATTAATTGAAATAGACTAGCGTAAGAGCACATGGAAGGCAGGTGTTCCACTTAGGTCTTCAGCTAAAGCAGTGATGGCAGCAAGTAGCTGTGTGATCAGAGTCACCCAACTCTGGTCCAGGTGGGAGAATCTCTCCTTGAGTTGGAGTTCATTACAGTGGCTTCGAACTCCCCCTTCATAAATTATTTAAGGGAAAATAAACAATGTCCTGAAGCAAGACCCTAAAGGAAAAAACAAGTGTCCTTACACAGAGCTATCCCATCATTCTGTAATCTTGGGATCCAGAGAAACTTTAACTGGCAGTTATATACCTCTCAATAATAAAAGAGGAACTAAGGATTAACTTTCCCATTGCCAAAACATTATTCTTGTTATATATAAAGATCAAAGCATGGAATTTAGATAGAAAGCATGATAATAAAATACAGTTTGTCCAGTAGCAGAAAACTACTAACCTGATTTTTTAAAATGGGCAAAAGACTTGAATACACATTTATCCTAAGAATGATCAACAAACATAAAAAAGATATTCAACATCACTAATAATCAGGAAATACAAATCAAAACCACTAGGATATATTACCTTATACCCATTAGGATGCTTACTAATGGTGTGGAGAAAAGAGAACCCTTACATACTATTGGTGGGGATGTAGATCAATGGAACCTCTATGGAACACATTATGGTGGTTCCAAAAAATACAACAACAATATGACCTAGCTGACCCATTCCTAGATATATACCTAAAGAAAATAATCACCACCTTATAAAAATATCTGCACTTCCGTGTTCATTGCAGCATTATTTACAATAACCAGGACATGTGAACAACCTAAGTGTCTGTGGATGGACTGTTAGATAAGGAACTGAGATAAATAATATGATAGAGTGTTATTTACCATAAAATATGTGAACTTGGAAGGCATTATGCTGAGTAAAACAAGCTATAAACAGGAAGAAAAATATGCATGATCTCACTTACATTTGGAGTCTTAACAAAGAATGTCAAACATGCAGAGATTGAGAATAAAGCAGTTACAAGAGGCAGCTACAAAATGGAGGAGGCCAGTCAAAGGATATAAGGTAGTAGATATGGATGGGGAACAAGTCCAGATATCTAATGTACCATATGAGGATTGCCCAATATGGGATATCCTAAAGTATTTTTGCTTAGTGAGAAGACTTTAGGTGTACTGTGGGCAAAAAAATGGGAAGCTGTGGTGATAGAGATGTGAATTTGTTTCACTATAATAATCATTTTGCTATCTAACTTTATCTCACAACGTTATAATGTATGCTTAAATATATACAGTAAATTTTATTTAAATAACTTAAATATTTTAATGAAAAGAATAGATTAGACCACTTTGTAATCTGATACCACCATTTCCTGGTGGGTTGAGTGTCATAGGAGAACACGTGTGTGTACGTGCGTGTGCGTGTGTGCATAAGCCCAGGGGGACAGGATAGCCGTGAGTGAGGGCATTAACAATTGAAAGAGGAAACAGGGTTTCCTTTGGTTATGAGAATAGACATGTGGATCTCCTAAATGTAGTTCAATTTCAAAATGATCTAAACTCAGTATGTGCCTCTTCTCGCTTAAGTAGTCTTAAACCTTCGTACCATATGTTTGTTTACCACACTGTCCTTCTTAACTCTCAACGTTATTTAAAAATCTTTAATCTTACTCCCCTCTAACATGGGGTAGGTGTTAAAATTCTGTCCATTCTCTGCCTTAAGAATTCATCCTTCCCTTTCAACTTCTGTTGCTATTGTTCTAGTTCAATGCCTCACATTTTCCTTTCTAGACTATCCCAATAAATTCCTTCTTTGTCTTTAAGAAATTTGATACTTTTGCTACTTCTCATTTCTGTTATTGTTTTAAGATCTACCTTCTTGAAAATTATTCAGTGCATATACAGTGTTGTAAACTATAGGTTAAATGTCTTATTATCTGCATTTCGTTGTGACTGATAACTTTTATACTACGTAGAAATAATTCCCTTGCTTAAAAATATTTAAGGATTTTTAAGCATCATAATAGATTTTTTCAAAATTTCAGTCTAATTGTGAACTATGCTTCTTGGCTTAACCATCAGATTTATTTACACCTGTTCCAGTTTTGCTGGTACCATGTACTCTGTACTCTTTCCCACTTTTGCTGTTTTGTCCTGCTCTTCCCTCATCCGACAGCTTCAATTTCTAATTCCAATATCCAAAATCTAAGGATCATTCAAGGACATATTAAAGCATTCTTTTCCACTGATAGTATTTTTGAATTCCACTTTTATTTCTGAATGTGTTTAAAGCTTTTTCATGCTTTCAATGACATTTTTTCCTGTCATTTACTTCAGTCTTTTTGCTTATGCTTAAGTGTGTTTGTGAATGTCTGTCTTTCCACCTTCCCATTAAATAATAAACTCATAGAATGAAATAGATTATTTTTCTCTGTATTTTTAATAAGACTTATAGTCCCAGATGTGAAGGATTTATTATTTAATAACTCTTTAATTAAAAATTTCCCTAGTCAATATTAAGTTTATCCTCACTGAAATACCTAAGCCGGTTATCCTCAAGAAAGCAGAAGTCAGTTTTCTCTTCACAACTTTGTCCTTCTCCCTTTCATTGCATGGGTTTCTGAGTTCTGTTAGGTCTGGGTCTACCCT